TACTTGAACAAAATCGTAGCATATATGTACTGAATATACATCCTAGAACTAATTCATTAAAAATAAATAAAAAGATGACCAAATTTGAAATGATTTGCATTCGAATCTTAGTTTTATTTGAATTTTTTTTCCTAAATAGTTGAATTGGGATTGACATCAAACAAAAACATTATCTGATTTTGTTAAAAATAAAAAAGGGATATGAAATGTGTTGTATATTGTGTTTGAAAAATAAAAAACTTGAATTTAAAAAAAAATTAAATCTATTAATTAAAAGAAAAAGGATACAAACTGGTGTGAAGATATCCCGTAAGAAATATGAAATTTCATGTTTTTTCATAATCAATCTGATAAAATAATAAAAAAATATGGGATAAATTGGTTTTGACATATAAAATTATTTTTTTTTTCAAAAAGAAAATAAGATAATAAATTCAATTAAATTTGCACAAATTATGTATGAGATATCAATTGATTTGAATTTGATTTACCAAAATTATTTGATTTGTTTACCAAAAATGTATTGATACGTTTTTTAGTATGTGTATCATATTCAAATCTCACATTTTTCAAATTCTAATGCTTTCTAATTTTATGGGATATTTATTAATTTGAGTTTTGAAAACCTAAAATCTTTAATTTTAAAGAGATTCACATGGATTTAGGTAGGAAATAATAAGAGGATCAATTTTCTTGGCAATATACAATCCAAATATCCAATTTTTGAACCATTTATCACGTGTGTGTTTTAATTTGTTACATATAACAGTAAGTCATCTATTTATTTTTTAAGTCAAAATTATTATTTACGTATTTTTTCAACAACTTTTTTATGAAATTTGTTACAAAAAATAAGCCCAAAGGATCCGATGATATTGTGAAGGTTGTTACAAAAAAAAAATGCTAAAAAATTCGAACCCTTACCAAATTTTCGGCCAGAGATTGTGTAAATAATTATGAAATTTGTTATAAAAAAAATTCAGCCAGAGATTTTGTGTAAGTATTTCTGAAATTTGGTTACCCAAAAAAAACCCAAAGAATTCAATCATATTGTGATGGTTGTTAAAAAAAAAATGCTCAAAAATTCGAACCTCTTACCAATTTTTCGGCTAAAAGATTTACCAAAATTGCTAGAGATTTTGTGTAAATAATTATGAAATTTGTTACAAAAAAAAAGGCCCAAAGAATCCGATCATTTTGTGAATGCTGTTACAAAAATTAAATGCTCAAAAATTCGAACCCCTTACCAAATTCGGCTAAAAGATTTACCAAAATTCTTAAAAATCATTATGACACGTGGGTTGTAGAATATTACTTATATTAGTAAGTCAACACATTATTTTTTTAAGTCAAAGTTACTATTTAAATATTTTTCCAACAACCTCTTTATATTACTATATATTATTATTATTATTATTATTATTATTATTATTATTATTATTATTATTATTATTATTCCTATATTATCTCTACCAATAATATTGTGAATGAAATTAACGAAGATACTCTTTTGATTTTCCTACAATTATGGTAACAAATCTCTATGGTAAATATTATGACCATGTTTTTAAGAATTAAGGTTTACACAATATCTTTCTCAAATAACAAATTTTTGAATTGAATTCGAATTTTCATTTAGCTGCCATTTCCCACAATAAAAAAAATAAAAAGAAAATTGAAAAGGCAAAATTTCATATTAATGCACCACCTTTCATGTTTTTGCAATTTAATCACAACATTTACAATTGTGCAAATTAATACACCACATTTACCATTTTTGCAAATCGATACATTTACAACCGTCAGTCATGTATCGATTTGCAAAAATAGTAAAAGTGGTGTATTGATTTGCAAAATTGTAAAGGTGGTGATTAAATTGCAAAACATGAAAGGTGATGTATTAATATGCAATTTTGCCTTTTGAAAATTATATGTGAGAATTTCAATACTATGTCAAGTAAATCTCTCTCTCTCTATTATATAGTAATAGATATACGAAAAGCAAATCAATATATTTACACACAAAATTCATAAATACAAATAACTTATGGAGGATTGGAGTTTATCAATGTTTAGTATATCATCCATTATTCTCGGAACAATTTTTTGTTTGATTTACAACATTAATTTGAATGGAAAAAATATCCGTAATTGTTGGGATATTTCAGTTCAAAATCTCAATTTTTTGGCATAAGAATCTCCAAATATGTTACCAATAAAAATAGATTCTATGAGATTAATATTTAAAAAATGAATTAAATTTTGGTATAAGAATCTCCATACCATAAGAATCTCCAATTTTTTTGGGATATCTCAATTAAATTTGATTCCCAAAGATTTACATGTGTTTTTTTTGAAATTTCTACTAATAGTAAGTCAATCCCTTTATTTTTTTAGTCAAACTTACTATAAAAATATTTTTCCAACAACCTCTTTATATTACTATAGATTCTGAGTTACCATTTTAGTTAGCACAACATTTAGACATAGAATATAATAAAACATTTGGACTAAATATTACAAGATTATTTTGTAGATATTGTTTATAAGAACCAATTTGTTTTGGTGGACTTATGTGGAAGAGTTATTTTTTTCCAACAGCTACTTAGCTAAGAGAATCATAACAATTTCTTCAAAGACCACCTCAATCTCCATCATTTTTAGTAAAATTTAGAATTATTTGAGTCATACTTTGGGCGTGGATCGTAATAGTCTTCAATTTACATTGTTATTTATTTAATTAAGTATTAGTGATTAACTAAAAAATAAAAGATTTAAAGAGTATTAGTGTATTACTAATTTGCCATTAAAATTAAGTCAAAGTAAGGGTTTTTTAGGTAGTTCATTTATTAATTAAAAATATAAAAAATAAGATGAGTATTACTGTATTACTAATTTGCCATTAAAAATATGTCAAAGTAAGGGTTTTTTAGACAAATCATTATTTTTACAAAATCACTCGTCCTTTTATAATATAGATAGATAGATAGATAGATAGATAGATAGATATAGATATAGATAGATAGATAGATAGATTAAATAATGTGACGGGCGGCTCCTTCTCGTCACTGTAACTGTAAGTGCATAACTAAAAATGCAAGTGCATAATTAAAAGGCAAATTTGCCCCTAATATCACGACCTTTATCGAAGTTGCAATTTAATCATGACCTTTTCACTTTTGCAAATTATATCACAATCTTTAGTTTGTTGCAAACAGTCTGAAAACAGACATAGAAAAGTTGATGTGGCCGAACAACAAACTGAAGATTGTGATATAGTTTGCATGGGATATGCAAATCGGTACACCAATTTGCAACAAACCGAAGATTGTGAGATAATTTGCAAAAGTGAAAAGGTCGTGATTAAATTGCAAATTCGAAAAAGGTCATGATATTAAAGACAATTTTGCCTAATTAAAATGACGAAGTAATGATCAAATAGTCCATTTTTACTTATGTCAGCTTGTCTCGCAAAACTATTTCTCAATGAAGAAAACCCATCCATCAAATTTCATGCCAAATAACTCGTTATCAACTGTTTTGACCAGCTAATAATAAATTGCTTTGACCCATGAGTTCAGCTCTTACATATGCGTTTTTTATATGTGCTCTCTGCAAAGACGTCAGGAAGTGTTTTCGGTGTTAAACCTCCGACGATCAAGTCAGTAAATAAGCTATGAAAGTTTGTATGGAAATTTACTATCAAACTTAGAATGAAAAGTGTGATTAACTCTTACATTTCCCAAATATTACCTAATTCATTGACTTCTTGAATAAATTTTGCCCTACCCGGCTACCCTAAGGCCTACCCGAGTGCCCAGGCTGCCTGAGGGCATGCCCGACGATTATTTGGCTACCCCTAGGTCTGCCGGAGATTGACTTCTATTTGTAGGATCGTTTGGTTTCTTCCCTTGTACTTAGCCGTACCATGTCCCCTGACAACAGCTTAGCTCTGATCCGTTGTCATATCCAAGCTCTATCATGTCCGAGCTACTTAACTACCGAACACTCCATTATAGGATGTCCGAGTTGCTTACCTGTCGCACTTCTTGAGATACTTTATGTCCAAACTATGGATATACATAGGTTTGTTCGAGCTACTTAGCTCACCCATGTCTCCCTGTCGGATGTCAGAGCTTCTTAATTGTTGCGCTGCCCAAGCTACCTTATGTCTGAGCTATGGTTATAAATAGGTTTGTGAGAGCTACTTACTCGCTTCCAATTATCCGACCTGTCTTATGATGGAGCTATGAACATACTATCATTCTTCAAACTATTAGAACACTAATATCTCGGACCCCTTAACTGGACTACTCTGAAACCAACTAATCGAGCTATTATGGGACCAATTCTTTCGAGCTGAATGTAGCCGGTTTAACCGATCTAGGAGTACTTTCAGCCTTCCACTTTAACATTCGATGAGTTATGGAATTGAAGTTATCAACTCTAACACAAATAAGACCAGATGCATCTTGACAAGCTTCATAAAACCACCATTGAAGAGCAATAATTAATCCTCGCAACTTCTTATAACCCATGGTCTTAGTTGAAGAATTCTTGCCAAAAAGATGTGAAATGAAATGATCAAAAATCTTCTTCCCCCAAGGATAATCATTATAATCTTGACTATCTATTATAGCAAGATAATAACGATCAAACAAAACACTTGGTTCATTACCCATCAGATAATTGGTAAGTACATGAAACATGGCAAGTTTAACAGCATCGGAGTCATTCACCCAACAACGAGATAGAAAACGCATACGAATAACTTCCCTATTTAAACGACCAATAAATGCAAAATATCTATAGAACAGACCATCATCACTGCCCTCATATAACAATTTTTTCCGTAATTTTCTCTTATTACATTGCCTAAGTAACTGGGCTTAAATGCTGGGCTGATGCTAATGGACTAACAATAAGCCCATGTATCCAAACCCGTGAATGATATTGTTTTCAACCCATTAGCCCACATTTGTTCTCTACTTCACAGTCTGCAACTGCAAGCAGCAGGCGACGCCCGGTCACGCGCCGTTCGTTTCTTAACTCAAGCCTCTGTGACTAACCGCTTGAAATACCCAGATATATACACGCATATATATAGTTCGCCATGGGACTATTGATTCGTAAGTGCAGGAAGTTCGCAGTGCATTTCGCCGTTAAGGAGTTGCCGCCGGGACTAGACTGAAGAAATTGCCGGAGATTCCGCTTATACGGAGAAATCATTACTGAACAATGGCTTCCCTTACCGCCGACGTGTTGAATTGCATCGTCTACCGCTATCTTCAGGAATCAGGTTCTTCTTTTTCTCGCTTGTATGGTTCATACGCGTATGTTTCGACTGTGATTTCTCAAACTTCTTCTCGGCAGATATCTTGATCTTGTTCGTGCACTGTCTTGAATTTTCATTTGGTCTTTGTAATGATTTTTTACGTTTTGAAGTGTTTGTGTAAGTAATCGTTTATTTGGCTGTTGTGACCAATTGGCGTTTTGGGGTTGTAAATGGTTCTTGTTTGAGGGAAAAGGAAGTATGATGGTTAGTCGGATTCATGTTTGTGCGTTTTCTATTGTCTTGCCGAGCGATGTATATGGTTCTTGCACTGCTATTGGCAATGTTAAGTGTGTATCTCTGGTTATCTGCGTATGGTTCGTGTCAAAGAACTTACTGATTTCATAAGATAAACTTTCTTGGGGGTTTTATTAGGATATTGACGGACTTATCTTTTCCTTTTCAAACTTCGAACAGCATAGCAATACTTTGATGAACTTCTGCATATATTCAATTTGGTAGAGTTAAACATGAGGGTTCATGTATTTCTCTCTCTCTCTCTCTCTCTCTCTCTCTCTCTCTCTCTATGTGTGTGTGTGTGTGCGCGTGCGTGTGTACGGGTGAGTTAATGTAAGTGTTTTCTTTCATAATTCAATCCTCTGGTCGTTATTGGCTAGTCTTGATACTGATTTTGGTTTTAGAAAGTTTTAGTGCCATTTATTAATTTGGACAGAATCTTGATGATGTGGTTTATATTTAACTGATTTGTACAAGGTGAATTGATTTTATTCGTCATATGAGTATAAAGAGTCTCCGACCATGTTTTACCATTAATGTAGAAATCAATATGATATAAGTTTGTAGAAACAATCTAATTGGTATCTGAGCTTTTGGTAACTTTGTAGTGAAATCCATCATGGGTTCAAATTTTGTTCTATGACAATCTATTACAATCAATTCTGCTTGGTTCTTGTTTTAAAACCTAGTTCCTTTGTGTTACGTCTCTTAATCAAACTTAGTTGTTATTGTAAGTATTTCAATAAGAAGCAATATTCAAATTATGTTTTACGAGTTGAGCTTTAAAATATGGTTTTGGATATGAATTTATTTCTAACTGGAAGTCGGACAAGGTTGCTGCAAGAAACATTCTGTTTCTTGATCTTTGGTCTCTTGCACATTTCATTATGTAGAGAATATCTGCTTAAATAAACTGTGAAACGATCATTGAAAACAAATCGAGTGTATTCTTACTTCCCTAGCCTTTCTTTTAAACATCTTTGAGGTACTTGTAACTGTTGCTTCTTTTAACTGTGTATTCATGTGTCACTTGATGTTTATTGTCGCTCAACGTTAGTGTTGTAGAATCACATATTTACATAGGACGTGGCTTGGGTAGCGAGGAGCCTTAACAGCAAAAACAATAGCCAAGACAAGAAAAGCAGAACACCCTACTTAAAGTAGGAATACAGAGAGAAATCGAACCCCTAATGTTGGGAAGATTAAATTAAATCTGTAGTTGCTAGAGATTGTAGGCTAACTTTGATTTTTTACTTTGTTAAAGTTTTAGCTTGAGCATTTATTGCTATCCATCTGATATATGCCAAAACCATCAATGCTTTAAACTCGACTACTATAATGATTTTTTGTCTTCAATTGGTTCAGACTTGGTAACCATCTTGTTATGAAACAGTAATACCACTTATACTTCCCAGAAATTATTACTTTTTACTGTTCGACTCTTTAGTGCCTTTGTAGGCTAAGTTTCATGTGCAGGGTCGAAGTTCCTACATTAGTTGGTTTCACATGTCTCCAGAAATGTTAGTTGTTTCCCTTCTTCGTAAGTTAGTTAGAGAAATAATGGCTAATACATGCTATATTTTGTAATGTTTGTTCTGCTAAAACTGATTCAAACGGAAGTATCGCTATCAATTTGTCTATTAGTTCGAATAATTCCCTAGTCTCTGTGCTTTTGTGTGTGTGTGTGTGTGTGTGTATGTGTGGTGCTTCTTATATGACTTTTTCCTGATCTTTTTCACTTTGTCTTTTTTTTTTTCTCTTTTAAGGGTTTACGCATTCTGCTTTTAACTTCCGCTTTGAGGCTGGCACCGACAAGTTCCCATTTGATGTCAATTTGGTCCCACCAACAGCTCTGGTCACAATCGTGCAGTTAGGACTTCAGTACAAGGAGATGGAAGCAAATGTGAGTATTGTATTTGTCCATTGCCTAATAATAATAACAATGAGGAAATACTTCATCTACTTCAACTTTCTATTACATCTTGATCAGGCCGAGAATGACGTTGATATGGACTTCTGTGTGCTGCAACCTATGGATCTCATCACAAAGGATATCGCTGAATTGAAGAAACTTGTGAAGGGGAAGGGAAAGGGAAAGCTGAATGTGGCCGGAGGAAAGGATTTAGGAAAAGGAAAACAAGTATCGAGCAGCCATGTCAAAGGCAAGCCAACAGAGGATCCCAAGAAAAAGGGTGTGCTTATTTTAGGTGATGATGGAGTCAGGAGACGCAGCAAACGGTTGAAGAAAGTGCATTGGGGTTGAGAAGCTACAGAAAAGTTGGCACTCGTGAAGAGCACAGGGGAGATTTTGGACAAAAAATTAAAAGGATTTTTTTTTTTTTTTTTTTTNTTGGATTTTGATTCACTTCAGCTAACAGTTTGTTTATGGTCTCTGGACCACATTTCATTCCCTTTTTTTCCTGCCGGTGCATATATGGATGCTTTAGTTCTGTCAAGGTATAGTTTTATGTGTTGCACATATAACCGTGTATAGTTTAGCAATTCATGCTGTACAGATATACTGTGAATATGATACATTTCTTTTGACACGGTTTTGGGTAAACAACATGGCCAGGATGTTGATTTTATTTCCCTGCTGGGAAAAACGTAGTATCTGATTGATGGTACAAAATTGATATGGCGTTTGAGGAAATGATTCTAAGTCTTAATCATTTGTTTTCCTGGTTTTGAGTTCTGCTGTTCTGTCGGGTTGTTGTTTGTGCTTTATGGTTGTAATTCTGTTTAATTCTTCAAAAATTGCTGCTACTGCCCACTGTTGTCCGTTTTGCATATGTTGTTCCCTGTTGGCCAACTCTTTTCCCCCAGGAATGTTTGCAGGGGATTCTCTATGCAGTGCTGCATTTCAACATTGTTCTGTTCTTCCCAAATTCAATGTTCTTTGTTTTGTCAAAGCATTTGGATAGCAAAATTAATGCTTAGAAAACTTCTATGAGAAAACAGAAGTCATTTCAGGAAACTAACCAAAAAAAAAAACTGTTAACCAAACGACAGAAACAAGAAAAAGATTCATATAGGACAGATTATGATAAATGAATTGTTTTTGCTGTGTTTGGAAGGGGATACAGCCAGCTTGCTGGTGCTGGAATTACAACATAGTGCACACTTGTAGAAAATCTTTCCTATCCTCGAATGTCAGTACAATCAAATCCTCTCATTCCAAATACAAGTGAACAAAACAAAACGAAACATCTCCAAACTTTTCTGGATAAATTCTTGTATCAACCAGTGCAATTCCACACATTCCTCACACGAACACATTCAGTATAACTGTAACTTATGTCGTAATCTCTTATGCTGCCCTCAACAAACATTTCTATTTTCATCTCAAGAAATCGGCCCATTCTTTTTCCTCCTTAATCCTCTCCAAAACCCCGTCAAGTGCAATATCAAATGCATCCTTAAAACTCTTGATACCCCCATTCGGTTTAGCGTAAATTATCCTCGGTATAGTCTCGACCACTTTCTCCCTCTTCTTCCGCATCTCCTCTTTGCTAAAACCCGACAACACTTGCTTTACAGACACTGTCCCGTTCTTCACCCCTTCTTGGTCTATGAAAACCGAGAAGCTATCCGGATCAGCAGGAAAGTACCACTCATATTGCTCATAAGACGTCTTTGTGAAAAATACAGGAATTGAGCCTGCCACCATGCAATCGAAAACCGCCTGGCTCGTGAAACTTTCCCTTTTCGGCTGCAGACAGAACTCAGATCCTAAAAGCGCACTCAGAATCACGGATGAGTTAGTCGGGCACTCAGTCAAGGCGCAATCAACTGCCCAGCACAAACTGGGCTCATTCTTACAGAAGCCCATCAGCTGGGCCCGAAAGTCGTTTGCGGCCCATTCGCCGTTTGTTTCCTTGATTAAAGTGAAAAGGCTGGGCCTGTTGCGGCCCCGGATGAAATCCTGCCACTCGGCGAGATCGTCCCTTGTTTTGGGGTGGAATCCAGTGGGGTAGGGTACAGTGACGTCCATTTCGTCTCCGGGGTATTTCTCCACGATGAGGCGAGTGACTTTCTGCATCAAGGGCATGTTGAGAAAGCTGGAGCCCCACGACCTGCCTGGGTCGGTCAGACGCCGGAAGTCCCACGTGATCCGGCCGATCGTCATGAAGTGGTCGGAGCCGTTGGATCTCTTCCAGTGGGTCTGGTTCCGGACCCACCGGAGCATCATCTTGCAGTGGCGGTCGCGTCCGGAGGTGTCGTTGGACCAAAGGTGCTTCCCTACGGCGAGGCCGGCGTAGAACGGGATGTAGAACGCGGTGGCGGATTCCGGCGACGTGGTCCGGCACCTGTGCCGGAGTACGCGGTGGTGGAAGATGACCTCTGAGGTGAACTGGTTAGTGTGGTACCAGGATCTGTGGAGGTCTCCGGGAAGGAGGCGACGGAGCTCGGCGGCGTTGCGGCCGTAGCCGTGGTTGGAGATGATGCCGCACTCCCAGTTCCAGGGGTCGAGGTCGGTGCAGTCGGGGAGGACCAGATCCCGGTTGAAGGCGGCGGGGAGGTCGTAGGCGTAGATCCTGCCGGAGGGGCATTCGTCTGTGTAGGGAGGGGCGGGGGATTGGGGCAGGGGCAGGGGTTTGGTGGCGTTTGCGGGCACGGCGTTGTTGGGCAGAGGGAGGTAGCGGACAGGGGCAACGGCGGCGGAAATGGCGACGGGGGAGGAGCGGTCGGGGAAGCAGGGCGGCGGGGTGCGGACGATGGAGATAATGAGGGCCTGGACCCAGAGGAAGGCGATGAAGAGCCAGAATCGTGGGTGCGAGGTAATGTGGATCTTGACGGTGTTGAGCGCGTTTCTCAGGGGATTGGTGTTTCTGGGAGGCGGTTTTTTCAGGGTTTGGGTTTCCGGCGAGCAGGAAGGTACCATTTTGCGGCGGCGAGAGGAGATGTGAAAATTGTGGGAGAAGGAAAAAAAATNTTTATAAATTTTATCATTAGTAGAAATAAATGATATGAATGTAAACTCTTTAGGTTACATATTAATCTTTATGTTAATTACAATAATATAATTTTTGTAATCTTGACTGATTATAAACTATTAATTAGATAAATTGGTATTAATTATTATTATAATTGTGTAAAGAATTTTAAGGCGTTTTATTATGCTAAAAAATAACTTATGTTAATGAGCTGGAAAAAAAAGAAATAATATTTTAAATAAATAATGTTAAAAAAATTTTATAATAGAATATTATTTAATATGACATTATGATTAGCTAGTAGTACCAATTATATAATAAATATATATACTTAATTTATCAATGTAAAATATAATGGAAAAGAGCAGAAAAACGATAAAAATTATCCTATTTTATCAAAAACTATATACTTTTGCAAAATGAAGAAAAATAAAATATGGGAATAAAAAATAAACGACAATATTTCTAAGCACGTAGTTGCCCAATTGTGGTTAATAATAAATTTTGTGCTGAAATTATGGTGCCATCTGATCACTTATTCATGTTATTTTTCCAAATTAATAAATAGACATTAAAAAAGGTGCAACTATTAAGGTGGAATTAAGAAAACTGAATTTCCTAATTGTAATAACATTGGATTTAAATGTGAAATCGGTAATAAAATAAAGAATATACAAATTTATGTATAAATAATACAAAAATACTATAAAACTGATTAATACAAAAAAATAAATAAATTTTGGGCATAAATTAAGGTGTCAAATGATTACTTATTCTCATTTTATTTTGCCAAATAAAGAATATTATATTACAAAACGTGCATCAATTTTGGTGGACAAGATGAATTAAAAAAAAAAAAGGTTATTGAATGATTTTTTGTTAACGAAGCAGGTGGATATCTTCCTCTGGAAGAGATAACTGAAGATTTTTTTTTTTATTTGTCATTTGATTGATTCTGTATTTTGTTTGTAATGTAATATTACTGCGTAATTCCTTTACACCTTTCCTTAATATAAAATAAAAATTTGAAAGTAAAAAACCAAATTTTTAATTATACTATGTTGATCGATATAAATTTGATAATAGATGGTTTCTAAAATCAATATTATATTTTTTTTTATCTATTTAAGTGATTATTTTTTAAATAAATTAATTTATTTAATTGTCATAGTAAAATCCCTTAAAATAGCATAGCAATTGTTATAATAAATTTAAATTTTCAGCAAATTAATTTATCATGATCTGTCAAAATTACAAATATTACATTATTTATTACATTTTATGCAATCAAATAATTGCGCACTATTTATTTTAACCAATGATCAAATTTTAAAACATAACACCATTATCTCACTTATAATTTTAATATTATATGCATAAATATAACTTATAATTATCTATGTTTAAAATTTAATACCATTATCTAAATACATGATCGGATACTAGTAATAAATTAAACATATATTTCTATAATCAAAGTAATCTTCATATAAATTTCTTGTCAATGGCCTGACCAAATATTACAAAAAATATGAATCATTAGTTTCAATTTACTAAATATTTGTTTCGAAAACTATTTTATTTGACCTACCATATTTTGAATATGACGAAAGAGGGTATTACGCGGAATTCTGCTCGTGGATTCACGTCATTTGAGCACAATTGACGAGACGAAGCATAAATAGATTTGGCTAGATAACGCCTATAGTTTGCCTCAGAGTAGCGAAACAAATAAGAACTTGTATCGGTTGTTTCAGTTCCAATCATGAGTTGAGTTTGGCTCGAGTAGATTTCCAAGATGGTCGGGTGTTTGGACAATATGTGTCGGGTCAAGGTTTCATAACCATTATATGTTTTGAATGGTTCTCCTTTTGGTTACTTTTAGGACAATAGTTGCAAATACATTGATTTTCCTTAAGACCCTTAACGAAATCCTACACATTGTGAAAATATTCAATCACAAAGGCCTTGGTCAACCCGAAGTTGCTGAAGTAGCAGCTGGAGCAGTTGCGGCCTCCTTCTCTCTCTCTCTCTATGCGGCTTGAAACAATTGCCGATGTCATCAACACCAATATCGTTGGGGACATGCTCATTGGCAAAAGATGATACCAGAACCAATCAACTATTGCTCGTTGATAATATACTTTCTCATTTTTTCGGTTGTGTACACACATCACACCTCTTCCATGAGATTTCAACATATTCATAACTCAATTTATTAAAGGAGATTAAAGTTTTCTTAATACTGGATAATCAACAGTAACAAATGCTTATAAATTGCTAATGTAGTGGCTTATAAACAAATATAAATTGTTAGAAATTTTAGAATAGTAGGGAAGAGATGAGAAGATGAGAAATTGTATGAGTAGAATGAAAGGGTATTTATAGGTGATAATTGAAGGAAAAAATATTTTCGTGGACCCATCGGTTCTGAATCGACCCGGGTCAGCGAAATCTCAACCGTTGATCTCCGACAAATACAAGATCCTGTGGAAAAATTCAAAATTCTTATCGTTAATGGCCCCTCGGATTCGACCAACCGGTCTCGTCAGAAACCGACTCATAAAATCAAAATACGCAGTGTATATACGATTATTACATGCAATTTTACAAATTAAAAAAATAGGTAAGCTGCTACTTAATTATTTATCAGACATTGTTTATAGTGTGTGTAACAACCTCGATTCGGTCTAACGTCGCCCAAGCCATCCTCAAACTGCTTCAGTGACCTGCAAAACAACGTTGGGGTTGTCTCGGCATAGAGCTTCCGACGATGAAGATAGTTTTCGGGAGTTTTGATGTATAATAATTAATATCTTATAATGTTCAAAGAGAGAAGAAGAATTGATAGTCATACCTCAACTACTTATATAGAGTTATTAACTTGTTGTCCAAGATTTGCCCGTTATTGCTGCTCAAGTATCCTTGTTGCTTAAGTATTGTTCTTATCTGACGTGTTCACACTACTCAAGTATCTTTGTGATATATCGGATGTCAACTGTCGACCCCCATTCCCGGGTTCAGCGGCTCGTCTGTTACGTTCAATGGGATTGTCACCCGGCTCCAGGTCCTCGAACTCGAAACCCTCGGGGATATCTTCAATAGTTTTAAAGATGTGTTGGACCCCCTTGGGAGTCACGTCATCGGGTATATCAAGAACGTCCAGGTATACCGTCGGCGTCAACAATGGAGGATGACCATGTTGAGATCTGTGAGGATCTCGTTATGTACGAATCGATAATTCAGTAGCAAACGTAAACCTATGCGCAGCGGATCTAAAGGTTTGACATAGAGAACTTACAGCTTAAAATTTATGGCGATCTGGCTGATCTTCTGGATGGCCGTACACAACACACGAACAAGCAAATCACACGAACGGAACCGGATCAAGCTCACGTGGATCAGGTCGTGTGAACCAGGGCAGTCGTGTCGCGGTCGGAAGGGCTGGGTCGCGTCTCGCGGGCTCGTGTCGCGGGTCGCCGTGCGTCGTGAGGATGTCTGCCGGCTTGTCGCGATCGGCGCGTCTCCTCCAGTTAGTCGCGATGACTTCACGGCGGGTCTGGCTCGTTGAGTCGGCGGTCCGACGGGTCGAGCTCGACGTGATCTGTATGTACAAGATAATCGGGTCTCGGTTACCTATTGATTTTCTACTGTATTACTCAATACACCCTTCTTCAACTTGTACCCGTGGAGCAACAAGAATAAAATAAAGCTCGAATGAGAACTGAGAAAGAGAGGCGTGTGAGGTGTGTTTCACGTGAGAATGTGAAATCTGTTCTCTTCTCATGAGCTTAATGATGTATATATAGAACTACAGTAGGGACTCTTAGGAAATTATGAATAGGGCTCCTTAATAAGCCCACTTCTCTAATTAATTAAATAATATTAATGGGCCACCAACATTATATTATTGCGCTCTCTTTTCCTAGCTCAAATTACATTTGAGACTCCAATAATAATTACTCGATTTACCTCCTCACGTTTAAGATATAATGCCCTTTAATTAATTCGATTACTGACTATAAAAAATTAATTAATTTATTATTATTTCAGCGAAGCTAGCGCTCGTTCGTCACATTCTTATTATGCCAGAATTTAATCCACCTGCAGGGTTTAGCGTAACAATTCTTCACTCCGGGGACATCATCAAACAAACGCACATGGTGACCGTAAATATCATAACAGCACATCATATATATAATAATATTACCCAAAACAGTAAGAATATTAATCCAGCGAACTGGACTTCACCTATGTGAATCAAAGTAATATATATTATATATATTTGTCTGTTTAATATCTTACGGGTTAAGAGAACGCAGTAATTAACCGAAGCCTAGTTCATTTACGACGGTCACTATAAAATGAATTTCTCCTCTCTGGAATCCTGTTCAATATAAATGTACTAGTGAAATTAATTAGTCAAGACAAATTGTACAATTCACACTACAACCGTTCGGATGGGGTGTTCATGTTCATCTAGGTTGTGAACAACTATTCTTGTTCGCAAGTAACTGATAGAGTGATCTTCGGTTCGTCCGATGACGACCCATCCTATCTAAGTGTAGAACAACAGAACGTAGGACTTGTTTAATCTAACATGATTCTCATTCATAAAGGAAAAATGTGTAATAACATGCAAAGCCAACTTTTCAGTATATAACACTAACAGACCACTTGTAGATGCTATATTTTTTCGCTTTAGTGGTCGTCCTTCACGAGAACTCGACACTTTTTTAACTTAAATAGAATTTATAAATAATCGTACAATTAAAGAAATGAGAGAAATAAGAGATTGTTGAGGAGAGATTATAGTATGAATAATGAAATTGGTGTAAATATAAAGTTGGGGGATGGGGGGGTTATTTTTATTTGTTTTTTATAAAAAATATATTATTTTTAAATTTAAAAATCGTCTGTTCAGGGCTGAATTAGCGGTTCATACAGTTCGACTAAAATCTGATCGTTGGGTTAACAGTAGTCGATTGTAAAAATCTAATTGTTGAACGCTACGATTTCGAGTCCGAACTTGCCCGAAACTGTATACAAATCCAAACAGTTGGATCTTAACGGGCAAAGTGACCCAACGATCCATGGTTTTGGTTCCGCACTCGAGCCGGCACGAAACTGAAAAAAAAAAAAATGTTTTTTATTTACATTTAAAGTTTTGAAAAGAAAAATACCGGCGATTCCAATTCGAAATCGATACCGAAAGCAGCAGTCACAAGTTTTTTGTTAAATGTTGAATCTGAACCCGTCCGGTTCAAGACTCATGATCAACGGTTCGGGCGAGCCCTTTTCCGTTGACTTCCTGGCCGGTGTCGGGCCAATACCGCGGTTCAGGACGAAGTTTGGCAATGTTTATGAATCTAGGGACTTCTCACAAGTCCCTCACTCAAGGCCACCCCGATCCATGTTGGGTACTTCTCTAAGTCCCCATATCTAAACCAGAAGATTTCAACTTTGGATTTTGTAACCTAGACGCTGGATCCCATAATCAAGGCGGCCATTTTGCTGATCTAATTGTGGTTTAGTAAAAGTCAATACCCGTAATTTCAGGGCTTTTGAAAGTTGAAACGAGGATGATTGGGCATAATCTCTGCCTACGTGTCACATTTTATGTCACTCCTACAAACATTGGCCACATTCTGCAGGATGTATATTTTTATCCTTCTTTATTCTTTTTTATTATTTATCTTGTTTTGCGTTTACAGAAAAGGATCGTGTTCTTGTCGGGGTTCTTTTTCTGCCTAATCAATAAAACAATGTTCAATTTCACATGCATGTCATTTATGGAGGAAATTCTTATTGAGGAGGTAGGGCCATATTTTTAATGTAATTTTTTAAAAGATATGAAATCAAAGTATATAACACAGAGCATCAGTCCGCTCTCTGTTTATTATTTAAAAAAGACAAAAATTACTCATAATGTATAGTTTACATTTTGCCAAATATTATAAATTTATATTTAGGTATTAATTTTCTAATGCTAATTTTCCTCACTATGCTTTAATTATAATTTTTATTTTATAATTAATTTATTTTATTCAATTATATAAAGATTGTTCATACCCTATAATTGGAAAATCTTGTCTAAACCAATTTGTGCATACCCTATAATTGGAACATCTTGTCTAAAACAAAATATCTAATCTAAAACAACAATGAAAAATAAATGAGAAAGTATTATTTTGAAAATAAAAAGCAATAATATTTATTTTAAAAAAATATTAAACTTTAGAATAAAGGCTTTTATTTTTAGTCTAATTTTACATTTAATATTCCTATATTAAACAAGTATTGTAATGCTACTAGTAACGTTGTATCATGTATGCCGAATAATTTTCTTCTAGAAAACAAATAATTTTCCTTTTTTTTTCATTTTTTTGGATGAGATAATTACGCAGGGAACGACCTATAGGACATTTATTTGCATCTTTACGAGTCAATTAAAAATATTAACAAATGTGCATAATCTTGTATTTTTAATTGCAACTTTTTTCCCTTTTTATTTTCTTTTTCCTTTTTCTTTTCTTTCCTTTTTTTCTTTTCATTCTATCCTCTTACTTCCCGTCATTTTCTTTTTTCTTCTTCTTTATCGATCCCCAATTTTCTCACAGCCCTCAATTTCAGAAATTCCCTTTTAGTTGTCTTCTCTCTGAGTTTGCAAGCCTCCAGACCCATGGTTTGTGGCGGTTGGAGAGGGCTGACAGACCGCTAGTTGACGATGGTCCCATCAGTTATAGCGGGGTCGGTCCGAGCTTTACGGTGGCAGTCGTGCGACGCGGTCACAGGTTGATGCGGCAGTGTGTAGAGGATTCGGCTTCTCGCGCGATCGGTGGCTCGGCGGGGGTAGACCGGCGGCATTAGATCTGTGTATGTGAAGATGTGGTGAAACCTTCTTCCTTAGGGTTTGAAGATTCCCGGTGAGGGTGCTGGGTCCGATTCAATTGAGTCCGTGAACTACCGAATCCAAATCTGTAAAGGGATTTTCACCAGGAAATAAAAATAGAAGCTCGTCTGTGGAGGCAGGGAATTAGCACAAAGCAATTCGATCGTGCGGGACTATGGCTTGACCGGCGGCAACGTCTTGCATTTGATCCTCCGTCTCTCGGACCTTCAGGTCATTACGGTGAAAAAGTGCGGTGGGAAAAGAGTTCACGTTGAAGAAGAAACCGCAGTAGATGATTCTAAAGGGACGTTTTAACAATATATGTTGTGTATATAGATAGTATATAAGCAGTATATTCCCAAGATCCAGATTATCGACCATATATGTTGTGTATATAGGTAGTATATTTTCAGTATATGTTTTTGTAGGCAGAATCACATATATGTTTAGTTTATAAAACA